GATCAAATGGGTGCATCGGAGTTCAACAACTTCCAACTAATATATAGATCATCTTTCCCTGCTTATGAACACACAATTTCCTTTTTGTGTTATCAACCAAAAGAACTAAAGTAGGTGTGTTTGGTATACTCCTATTAACTTTTGTAACTTTTAAGTAATTACAATCTTTAGTTTTGCTACAAAATACATGACCGCATGTCGACGTGGCGTTGAACAATAATACTACACAGGTTGAGAGTCTAATCGTTTATTAATTAGGTATATCTAGAATGTATTAGTTATGATCAAACCATAAACTATGCTAAGTAGGTCATCCAACGATACCAGTCCCTTTGACATTTTCTGACCAATTCCTACTATAATTAAACCAAAGCAAAAACACCGAAGTTACACAATAATAACTCAAGTATGGGTGGTAGAAGAACATACGCTATCGCATTTCTAGCCATCGTGGCGGCTCTATGGGGCGTAACAAAATCACAGCCTAGCAGGTCATGCGTGACTACACTGACTACCCTTGCTCCGTGCCTCGGCTACATCACCGGAAACTCAACCACTCCCTCACAGACTTGCTGCTCTCAACTCGACTCTGTCATCAAAACTTCGCCGCAGTGCATCTGCTCTGCCGTCAACAGTCCGATCCCCAACATCGGCCTTAACATTAACCGCACACAGGCCTTGCAGCTCCCCAATGCCTGCAACATTCAGACGCCTCCCCTCACACAATGCAACGGTAACCTCACTTTAACCCTTAGTCTATAATAATAGCTCCTATTTTGTGGTATCCAAAATTCCATCCATATATCATATCTATGTTATGTGTTACGATATAGTCTCACTCACAACAAAGTGTTTGCGAATTAGCGGCCACTGGGCCAACAGGACCGCCTCCCGCACCTTCACCGGTGGAGGAGACCCCAAGTGTGGCACTAACCCCAACCTCGTCACCGGGTACTCGTTCAGGTACCAACTCCTTTAATCAATCACCAAAACCAAGCACTCGATTGTATATTCTCTCTTAACGGGACTTGATCATCCATGCGCAGGAGTTGGAGGTAGTTCCAAGACCATTCCCACCACGGGCGCCGGGTCATCCTCCGGGAATGTCGACCGCGTTCCACTGCATCTGCTTATGTTTGCTACATTTGTGGTCTGGACTTCATCTCTTGTTAACCAATCCTGAGACTTCATATGTTTGAATTTGATTTCCACTTTTACTATTTTTATCTATTGTTATTAACTTCCTGTGCCAGATTCATACGTGAGTCTTGTATTTTATTTGTATTGCCATTTTGTTAAAGTCCTTCGAAACACACACCAAACCAAATAGTAGTAATAATTTAATTCAACTTTAGATATATTTCATTTATGTCTTAGCAATTTTGCAAAAACGTTTGCGAATTCGTAAGTTAGCCCTTTTGAAATTTGATAGTTTTTGACATAATTAATAATCCAAAACTCAAAATGTTAAGTTTTTGGAAAATTATCCAAAACTCAAAAATGTTAGTCCACGAATTCTTACAAACTAGTACGTTTTGATGTTGTTACCAGAAATAGATGAAATGTGTTCAAATTGAAATCTAAACTATTTAAACAACTTGGTAAGGTAAATGAGTCTCTAAAGAAGCCAAAATTCAACAACGTTATTTTTTTTGGAAAATTATCAAAAACTCAAAGGTATTAGTCCACGAATTCTTAAAAACTAATACGTTTTGATGTTGTTACCGGAAATAAATGAAATGTGTTCAAATTARAATCTAAATTATTTAAACAACTTGGTAACGTAAATAGGTATCTAAATAAGYCAAAACAAGTATGAGTTGTAAACTCAAAATCATGCCCTAGCCGAAGCTCCCAGGCACGATTATCGAAGCAACCAAAAGCTTGTTATTCTTCGGCGCCGGTGGGCCTCTTGCTCGCCGGCGTCGAAAGATGGTCCATCACCTCCGCTTGTCCTTTGTTCACTCGCTGTTAACGTTGCCTCTATTATGGGTTCTATACAGATATTTACTCTCGGTTCGAGAGCGAAGATTTGCCGCCCTCTTCTCCATTAACCACCTCACCGTCGCCCACTAAGGCCGCATCCATAACCCCGTCGGCTCAGACTCAGCCATCGACTATCCTCTCTTCTCGGTATTCGAAGCCGAAGATTTGTTTACAGGAGCAGAAATCTCAGGCATTCAAGACCCATCTCTGGGGTTCACTCCGACAGCGACCCAAGACTTGAACGGCACCAGATCTCGTGGCGTGTCGGTTGGCTCTCGAAGGCTGGGTTTCGACTGTTGTTCTCTCCGATTGCGTTCCAAAGACACGTCTACCCACCACCGGTCACCGGTTATGGCCGGAGATATTGTCATCGGCAACTTGAAGGTCTCGCCCCGGTCGATCCAAGACAAGCCCCGATCTAGCTTTGTGTGTTTAATAGGCCGAGTCCAAGATGTGAAATTGGGCCTTCCTTCGCCCACTTTTATGGTCTCCTTGGCCCAACATGGGTATTGGCTCAGTAAGAATTCGGTTATAAAAACAGATTGTCGGCCATG